ATTCGAAAAATTACCACGAGTCGTCGAAAAGTTACCAGAGGTTTAGATGGATTGCAAACATGCCTCGCTCTCGTTACTCCTTCCCCGTCTGCTCTTCAGAAGCCGGCCCCCGCTCGGCCGTGCTATAGGAACACACGTACGTCGTACGGTAGCGCCCCTTTCCTACAAAAGTACAGTGCATTCGGCCAAAGCTCGAAATGAGCGAAGCAGTTCACCTAACCATCCAACACAACCACCTGCCTTACGAACTTGTCTTTGCCGCTTCTAGCACTGCACAACAACAGGATCGATAGTCTCGCAAATCTACTCGTTAGCCTTGGTCTTTTAGGGCTACGTTTGACTTTTTCAATCTAGCCCTAACCCCAACCCTGACCCTAACCTAACGCCAAACCGCCGACGCCTCGGGGGAAAACCCGGGGATACTTGGGTATATGTCCCTGCCTTCCCCCCCAAAATCACCCCGATTTTCGATTAGTAGGCCTATGTGTCTTGAATTTTTTTTCGTACAGATCCTTGGTAAATCGGCTGCTCGCCACAAGTATATGAACATCGAGCCTGATGAAGCGCGAAACACCATGTACAGATGCATGTAGAACCTTGGCGAACTAATTCAGCGGAATCCTCAACCAATAACAAAGCAGTCTGAGATGTGCTTGTGGACGTCCTCCCTCGTTCCTGGTGTGCTTGACGCTCTCATGGACGACCATTTGCAACGGTCGTCCCTGCAAGAGCCTTGTGCTTGCCCCGCTTGATCTTCTTCGGCCAAGCTCGCGTGCCACAGGTCGTGCACACTGGCGAGAACTCACAGAACACAGACAGGCACACCGAGCACCTGCGAAGAATTGGCCACAAAACCACACACGAGCGAACAAGAGCAAACAGATGGCAGAGGATGGACACAGGCGTCATGTGGAGAGAGTGGAACGTTTAGAACCTCACGTACCCCATATCTAGCATTGCGTACCCCGTCGAATAGGATATATTCCGAGCTACTCCTGTGCAAACATGGAAGCATTACCAATGCCACCAGCTTGCGCTAGCAGAGAACCAGAACGAACACGCACTTCTAAATTGCAACGTGTGTCTAGCGAAGGAGGACACCACCAGTTTCGATAACATTTCAACACTCAAGAACAGCATGGGCGCTGACAACCACGAGTCGCACGGTATCCCTGAAAACACAACAGAAACAAGGAGTCGGCGAGAGTGCTAGCATAAGGTAGCCTGCTCTCACACGTAAGCGATGTCCACGACGCGCTTGTGGCAGAAGCACGCCGCCCTGAAGTCTACGCTCTGCTGCGTGCGAAGCTTGAGGTATTTGCGGCAGCTCTGACTCGGTAAAAACGTGGCAAACATATACTGCGCTAGGCCCACTCCTTGGTGTTCCAGGTACAGCCCGCCTGGTAAAACATAAAACACGACAACAATGACAGCGTTCCAAACCGTCCATTGCGCGGCAATCGGGGGAAGAATAGGGCTTATGTATCCAAAAGAACATTCGCACACCCGTCAACGGAGGGGCCTCGCACAGGTCACAATGCACTGGAATGGAAGGGTATCATGTTTCTACGCGGTCAGCCGGTGTGTCGTACGTCATCATAACTCCATATCTCATCGTATCTGCACCAATCACGGAAGCACATCGACAGCCTCTGGCCTCTAACCATTGACGCGTCCGCCGGGCACCGTGACAATTGTTTGTAAGTCATTCGACGCCAGCGCATATAGAATGACTTCCGCAGATCCGGAGCAGTCCGAACGCTCTCGAGAACAAGCACGACACACACGAGAGAAAATTCCACCCCGAAATGGCCTCTACGAAGGATGGATCGACGCTCACGGCATCAGAAAAAGGAGTTGGCTGAAGATATGTGACACATGAACGCCCAAGCTCCAAATTTCAACTCAACCTACCCCTTGAACATGTCAAGCGCTACAGGCCTGTGCCTGTTGGTTTTCTCCCCCCCTTACCCCCCCCCCCCGTGTTTTGCCATCGGGGTTGGGTTTTCGTCGCT